CATGCTGCTGTCCTACCGGGGCATCCTGCGGGCCGTGCGGGGCAGCGTGTCCACCGAGCGCCAGGAGAAGGCCAAGATCAAGCGGCTGGCGCTCAGCCTCATCGCCATCGTGCTGGTCTGCTTCGCGCCCTACCACGTGCTCCTGCTGTCCCGCAGCGCCGTCTACCTGGGCCGGCCCTGGGACTGCGGCTTCGAGGAGCGCGTCTTCTCCGCCTACCACAGCTCGCTGGCCTTCACAAGCCTCAACTGCGTGGCCGACCCCATCCTGTACTGCCTGGTGAACGAGGGCGCCCGCGGCGACGTGGCCAAGGCCCTGCACAACCTGCTCCGCTTCCTGGCCAGCGACAAGCCCCAGGAGATGGCCAACGCCTCGCTCACCCTGGAGACCCCGCTCACCTCCAAGAGGAACAGCGTGGCCAGGGCCGTGGCGGCAGGCTGGGCAGCAGCCCCGCCCTCCCAGGGGGACCAGGTGCAGCTGAAGATGCTGTCCCCGGCACAGTGAGCCCTCAGCGGCTGGGAGCCCCTAACCCTCGAGTCTCACCCGCAGTCCCTTCTTTCCTGGCCTGGCGTATGCGAATTGTATGTAAATAAGTCTGTCACTGTCCTTAAGAATACAAGAACATAGGGAAGGAGGTTAGTGTCACTGGTCAGCCATCAGCCTCTGCAGTGACCTCCTAACGGCTCTATTTAACTGTCCCTAGTCCGGTGCTGAGCGGTGCTAGTGACGTAACAGTGACAGGTGACAGCCTTGGGCCCTGTCTTCATGGGTTCCTAGACTGTCACAATCTGGATGGGGCTCATGGAGGGCTTCCTGGAGAAGGCAGTGAGCAAATGAAGTCAAGCATTTGGTTTCCAGGAGGTACAGACAAAAATAGAACAAAGCTGAAGTGATTTCCAGCAAAGAGATCTTGTGACCAAAGGGGAAGGTGAAAGGAGAAATTCACTGGGTGGAGTCATCGTGTTTTCCCTTGGGAAGCCCCCAGACAGATGTGGGAGGGAGTAAAGGACAGAGCAGTTTGGAGTTTCTAGACAGACAACATTCTCCAAGTCAGGACTGAAGATGAAGAGGGAGAATGTCAGAAACCAAGTGCAAAGCAATCCAGGCAGACTGCTTGGAGGAGGAGTGAGTAGGGCAGGCTTGGGAAGGAGGTTCAGGGTAAGAGGAAGGATATTTATTTATTCACTCTACAAAAATTCATGCCCAGTCCTGTGCCGGGTGGTACTGGGGATAGAGCGAAGACCCTCAGAGCACGAAATAAAGCCAGCTAAGGGGATAGGGAGGGACTCGGAAGTCTGCTCTAGATTAGAAAGAAACAGGGGAGGAGGGGTCACTGGGTCGTATGCCAAGACTGAAAGGAGGTGAGGCAGACAGCCCTGTGGCTCTTACGAGGTGAGAAGGGCATTTGAGGCAGAGGGAACTGCAAATGCAAAGGCCTGGGTAGGAGAGCGTCTGAATATTTTTTTAATTTATTTAACTTATTTTTTAAACAATGTTATTATAGGGCACGTGTGCTCATCAGTGTGTGTGTGAGAGAGAGAGAGAGAAGGAAAGTGAGAAAGCAAGCTGCCAGGTTGCCAGGTCCAGGACTTGAACCATGGCTAGTGGGAGTCCAACACCTTAACCACCAGGCCACCTGCGGGTCCGAGTGTCTGATTTTTTTTTTTTTTTTGAGAGATTTTTGCTATAGGGTATGTGTGCTCACCGGAGAGACAGAGAGACAGAAGCGGGAAATCACCCCCCTCGGGGATGGCCATGCGGCAACCCCTTCTCCTCTATTCTTTCACAATTCGAGGCATGTACACACACGCCTGGCATGAGTTTCAAGCCTCTGGACCTAGGACTCGAACCGCGGTTGGCCATGTGGAAGTCCAGCACCTTAAGCACCATGCCGCCTGCTGGCCCAAGTGTCTGAATGTCTGAGGACCAGCAGTTAGAGCAGTGTGGCTGGAGCAGGGGGAGGCAGGGCACGAGGGAGGGGCCATGAGACTGGAGAGGGACAGAGGCAGACAGGGCAGACGTGGAAGTCCCAGCCTTTTATTCTGGGAGAAATGGGAGCTGCCAGGGGCCCATAGCCGAGGACAGGTGTCATGTGACTTAATGTCCACAGGACCCGGGAGGTACAGGCAGACCCTGGGAGCCTGGAGAGGAGGTGACTGCCGCAGCCCGGGCAGGAGATGCTGTTGGGTTGGGCTCAGTGGGTGGAGGAAGCACAGGGGCCTTGGGATTATGTCACGTGAGCCCCTTGTCCATTATGGGAAAAGGGTGACCAGGAACCTGAGCAGAAAGGGCCTCTGGGAACAATCCCAGGCCCTTGTCCAAGGCGGTCACCAGAGAGGCTAAGTGACTGGTCCAGGATCGCACGGCCAGTGAGTCAGCGGTGGGGCCATCCTGGTTCCCTCTCCCCTCCCCATCTCTGCCTCTGTTCCCACGCCCCGGGGTGGCCAAGGCTGCCTGCCATGGCCTCAGGGCTCACCAGGAATGGCTGCTGTTCCCTAACCAGGCTGGGGCAGGAAGAGGCACCCAGCTCTGGAGAGGTCTTGTCCCTCCCGGGAGGGTCTCCAGACCTTTCCCTTGCCCCTCCCCACGGGTGTGTAAGCAGGTTCCTGAGATGGGAAGGGCCCTTCACACACACACACACACACACACACACACACACACTCTGCCCCAGAAGTTTACAGAAGAGGTTCCAGGAAACCTCGGAGAAATAAAGAGAAGGAGGAGGGAAATGAGGAAAAATGCACTAAGCGAAGGTGATTTTGCAGGGAGTGGAGGGTGGGGGAGCACAGATTCAGGAAGTCGTGGCTTTGGTGTTAGAGGTAGGGGGGCTGGGACCTGAGAGGACTGGAGGGCTTCCCAGCCAGTCCCACCACCATAAAGCCACTGGATGGAGACGTAGGAGCCGGAAACTTTTTGAACAGTCTTCTTGGAGAATCAGATGGAAGCCTGGACATTCCCCTCTCCCCAAACCAAACGCTCATTCCCATTTATTCAATAAACATCTACATATTTATTGTGTGTGCCAGGCATTGTTCTCAGCACTGAGGAAAACAGCAGTGGGTGATACAGACGTGTATGATTCTGCAAGTTTCAGAAGCCACCATGGGCATCCTCGGCCCTTCAGTAGGTCCTTAGCCTCCAGGGACTCAGGAGATCCCAGTCTGAGCTCCGCCCTGATTAACCCTGGAACCCTGGAACTTTGGACAAACCCTTTTCATCCCCTGGCCTCAGCTGGCCGGCCTGAAAAATGGAAAAGGGGTTGGTTCCAAGTGATGGACCTTAAAGGGGCCCAAGCTCCCTCACACCTTCTGTCCTTCTGGGATCCTGAGAAGGGGTCATTGTTATGGAATCTTGGCTTTTATAGAAATCTGGAATAATGAGGGGCCAGCAGATGGCATAATGGTTACATTGCTGGACTCCCACGTGGACTACCACGGTTCGAATCCCAGACCTGGTGGCTTCAAACACACTGGGTGCATGTGTGTGCGTGCCCAAAATCCCAAGAGGAGAATGGAGGAGAAGGGGTTGTGGCGTGATTTTTCACTCTCTCCCTATCTCTCTGTCTCTCGGGCAAGTGCACACACACTCTATAGCAAAAATCTCTCTAAAAATAAAGGGGGAGGCAGCGGGCGGCATGCGGTTAAGGGTACTGGATTTGAATTCCCACATGGCTGACCATGGTTCAGGTCCTAGACCTGGCGGCTTGCTTTCTCACTTTCCCTTTCTCTCTCTTTCTCTGGTCAAATTAAAAAATTATAACAAATGGGATTAAATAAATAATAATTCTTTAAAAAAATAAGAAGAGGAAATCTGGAATATCTGAGCTCACACACCAGCACCATCATTACCAATGGAGGAACACGGGTCTCTGGGTGCCAGGGACCTAACAAAGGACACCACTGAGGGAGTGGAGTGGGTGCCAAGGCCCCCCCATGGTCCTGACCCTGTTTCCCCCTACACACCACTGCCCTGCCCGTCTTCCCGCCTTTTGTCTCTTCTAGAATCTCTCAATGACCCACCAGGCTCCACCATCCAGGAATTTCTCTCAACCCCTCCCTACCCTTGTTTATATGACTGCTCCCTGCGCGGGTAAGGGAAGGCAGTCTGGGACTTGACCTCAAACTCCTTCCTGAGCCAGCTCCCTGGGGACCCCCCCCCCAACCCTGCCCCCACTCCACCCCCGTTGGAGGAAGTGGGGCGGCTTGAGAACAAACGGAACTCCACCAGCCAAGATGCTGGGCTGGGCTGTTGGCCTTTGCAGGTTGAGTAAACTTGTGCGGGCCCCCTGCTCCTCCCTGGGCCTCAGTCTCCTCTAAGGATTGAATTTGCCCTTCTAGGGGTGAAGCGCACCCTCATGCTGGAGTTGGCAATGACGCCAATAGCCCTACAGTAATAAGGGCTGTTCACGGCGTGCTTACTCTGTGACTTGCACCATTCTAAGCAGGTCACAGGGTTCAGTATGTTTTACACTTAGGATTCCCATCAAGCTTCACGACAACCCATAAAACAAATGTAATTATGGTTTCCATTTCGTAGATGGGACTACAGATGATCAGAGAGGTTAAGTCACCCTTTGTACTATCACACAGCAAGCAAAGGGCGGGGCTCCGAACCAAGAATCTTAAGACCACATAGCCAATTTCCTCTTACGCCCAGTGAGGGCTCTAACCTGTAGAGGAACGTGTGTCTGGGACCCACTAGACCTAATTAGGACTGATTAAGAGCCTCCTTTGGGCTGGGAAGCCAATTCAGTAGGTGACATCACGAAAAAGCCCGTACACGTCAGCCGAAGTGAGCGTGGGAATCTATCCACGCTCACGCGAGCAACCGTTTAACGGTACCGCCCCTTGACGGCCTCACTTCCGCCGTGCATTTGCATATTCGGCGAACAGACGTCGAGCCGTCAGCGTCGACGTAGTGACGCCATGGAGCGCCCCTGCAGTTATTCCCTGAACGTGCATACGTACGCACGCACGCACGCACGCACGCACGGCCACGAACGGGCGGGGGAGGAGGGCAGAGATCGCAGACGCCCCGCCCAGTCAGGAAGGCTGCGCGTGCCCCGTGAGACCGCCAAGATGGTGGTGGGCGCGTTCCCTATGGCGAAGCTGCTATACCTGGGCATCCGGCAGGTCAGCAAGCCTCTTGCCAACCGCATTAAGGAGGCCGCCCGCCGAAGCGAGTTCTTCAAGACCTATATTTGCCTCCCGCCGGCTCAGCGTGAGTCTGACCCTACGTCCCTCCATTCTCCAACCCCTCTCAGGTGGTTGCTCAGGGTGGACTTCTGTCCAGGGCCAATCACAGCCCGAACCGGCAAAGTCCTGTGGCCAATAGGGATGGTTCTTGGGAAAGGGGCGTGCGGGCAACCCAATAGCGAGGACCGGCTTGGGGTAAAGGGCGGGACAGGGCACGCCATGTGAGTTAAGAGTGCCAGCCAATAGAGGAAGAGAGCGCACGGAGACTGAGGTCTTGGCCAGCCAATAGTGTGGGAGAGGAGAGCAGTTTGGGCGGGGCTTAGGACCGAGGGTCTAGGGGCGGGGCTGCGGAGGGACGAAGTCCTTTACCTGACCATCCTAGGGTGACTTCGTTTCCCAAACTCGACCTCGTGCCTCAGTTTTCCCTTGCCATGGGAGATGGGAGGTGTTTCAATGTCATCTGTTTAAGACATCGGTGTGTCTCAGCTTAACTCCGAGTAATAGCCCTGGGTTAGGGACATATTTCGGAGGTGAAGTCTGGGGGCGTGGCCTGGGAATGTGTTAAAACAACCAAAGCAGACGTTCATTTGTATGCTCATTAATCCACGTTAGTAGACAGACTGTGCAGGCTCCTTGCTGGGCGTTGGAAGATACATTCCTGACACTTCAGTGTCAACCCAGAATGGTGAGGGCTTAGGAAGCTCCAGAGTTCAGAGGAGCCTGCTGACCTACGGGCATGGGATCTGAAAGGCTGTCTAGAGGTGGGGAGGGGAACCCTAGCTGAGAGCTGAAGGGCATAGTAAATCCTCAAAATATGAGCTGCTTTAAAATGATGATCCATGTCCTGTAAGGCTGTGGGAGCATAAAATAAGGGAACTTCTTGTAATTTCCTGGATCAGAAGAGCACCATTAATCCATCCTTCCATCCAGTTCTTCGCTGAGCATCTGTGGTGTGCTAGGCCTTCTGCTGGCAATGCTGGTGAGACATCAGGGACCAAGCCAGCTCCAGTCTGTGCCCCAACGGAGCTCACAGTCCGGAAGGATCAGCCCTGTGCCCCTGAGCGACGCTCAGCAGTGGGCAGAGCTGAGATGGAAGAGCCCACTGGACTGGAATGGAAGTACTGGATGGACTGATGGATTAATGGTGGTCTTCTGTCGTGGCATAGGGTCCAGGGCCAGTTTGCTGGCAGCGGAGACATCTGAACTGGGATTGAAAGGGTGAGGAGAATCTCAACAGACAACTCGGGGATGGGGATGCTGTTGAGGCAGGAGGAGTATGTGCAAAGGCCCAGTGGTTAAGGGGAGTGCATCTTTTCCCCCCAGTAAGTTCGTGCTTAAAGTTCACTTTCCAGGGCCTAGAATTCTTGGCCTTTGGTGTTTGGCAAGGCCTCTGCCAGGACTGCAGATCTGAGAGCGGAAAAGTGTTGGGTTCATCAAAGTACTTTCATATCTGCTATCTCATTGTGCCCTTACCTGTTTTGTCCCCATGTCAAAAAGGAGGAGTGACTTTCTCTATGGAAGGTAAACTGAATGCCTTCAGGGCAGAAGTGAATTTCCGAGGTCACACGTGGGGTTTGTGCCTGCGGCAGAGCTTGGCCTCCAGACTCCCAGACCTGGTGCATTTTCTTCTACAGCTGTCCTTCCAAAGACTGTGACATATCTTAGCATTGTGGTTTAGAAAATGTCTTCTGAGGGGCCGGCAGGTGGCGTGATGGTTAAGGGCGCTGGACTCCCACGTGGCCGACTGTGGCTCGAGTTCTGGACCTGGTGGCTTGCTTTCTCACTTTCCCTCTCTCTGTGTCTCTCTCTGATGAGCATGTCTGCCTATAGCACATTAAAAATAATAATAATAATAATAAATAAAATAAATAGTTACTTTAAAAAAATGATTTAATAAAAAGGCATTATGGGCGGCACCAGCAGTTGAGGTTGTGGCTGTTGCTGAACTCCCATGTAGTCAACCATGGTTTGAGTCTCAGACCTTGCGCCTTAAACTCACACCGGGCGCATGTGTGTACATGCTCAAGTTGCCGAGAGGAAAATGGAAGAGAAGGGATTGCGGCGTGGCCATCCCCCTGGGGGATGATTTCTCACTTTCTGTCTCTCTTTATCTTTCTGGAAAGTGCACACGCCCTATAACAAAAAATAATAAAATAAAATAAATAAATAAAATTTAAAAAACCTCTCTCCAAACAAGGCATTATGGGGCCAGCTGGCGGTGGTAGTAAAGACAGCAGGCTCCCACATGGGCTACTGCACAGATGGAGCCCTGGACCCGGCAGCCTGAACACGCAGGCGTGTGTATCTGTGCCCCAAATCCCGAGGGGAGTGAGAAATGGAGGATCATTCCCATGGGGTCCTGTCTTGCTCTTTCTCAGAAAAAGGTTTTTGCCAGAGGATGAGTACACTTGCCAGAGAGACAGTGAGAGGGGAAGAGAGAAATCATCTTCAGGGGTGGTGGCCATGCCACAATCCCTTACCAGCCACTCCTCCTGGGATTTTGGACACACATGCACACACACCTGGCATGATTTTTTAAGCCATTGGGTCGAGGACTTGAACTGTGGTCAGCCATGTGGAAGTCTAGCACTTTAACCACTATGCCACCTGCTAGTCACTGACAAGAATTTTTAAAAAATACTGTGTGGTTATCATGAATAAAGGGATATAAAATGCTAAGTGAGGGCTTGTCGTTGAGTCATAGCTGTTGAGTAGACGCTATGGAGTCACCAGAGAGGAAAAGGTAAAAATTCCTTTGGTATCTGACATACTCGGGGGGTAAGGCAGACAATAAACAAAATAAATAGTTAAAACATGAGATGTGGGGCCAGCAGGTGTGGTGGTGGTTAAGGTGCTGGACTCCCCCATGGCTGACTGTGGTTCAAGTCCCAGACCTGGTGGCTTGAGACACACTAGATGTGTGTGCCCAGAATCCCAGGCAGAAAATAGAAGAGAAGGGATTGAGGTGTGGCCTTCCCCTTGGGGGGTGATTTCTCACTTTCCATCTCTGCATGTTTCTCTTCTCTCTGTCTCTGGTGAGTGCACATGCCTATGGCAAAAACCTAAAAAAAAAAAAAAAAAAAGAAGGAAAAAAAAAAAACTCTATCCAGATAGGCAGCTATGGGAGTAGGGAAGTGTATTTAAAAACATGAAATGTATTATTAGGTTGTCGGGAAAGTCATGACATATTTTTTCTCTCTCTTTTTTTTTTTTTGAGAGATTTGGGCTATAGGGCTCCTCCATTCACGGAGACACAGAGAGAGACAGAGAGACAGAAAGCAAGAAATCACTCCCCTGGGGGATGGTCACACCGCAGTCCCTTCTCCTCCATTCTCCTCTCAATCTTTGGCACGCACACACACACGCACCTGGCGTGAGGTTTAAGCCGCTGGTCTGGGACTAAAACCGTCGTCAACTGCGTGTGAGTACAGCAGTGTAACCATTACGCCATCTCCTGGTCCCTCTGACGTATTTTTCTATGCAAAACTGTTGTGATTTTCCTGACAATACTTGCCCTGGGAAAATCAGGACTGCAGGAGGGAGGTTTAGAGGGAGGTTGTAACTTTAGACAGGATTATCAGGGAAACCTCATGGAAAATAAGTAGAGCTTGGAGAGAGGGAGAACATTCCACCCAGAGAATCTGCATGTGCAAAGGTCCTGAGGTAGGAGTGTGTCTGGCACATTCCACAGTGGAAACCAGTGGCTGATTGTACAGGGCTTGTGGGCCACTGCAGACGCTTTGGCGTTACTCTGACTTAGATGGGACTCTGCAGGGTTCTGTGCGGAAGAGGGATAGGATCTGAGTTTTGTGTTACTGGGATCCTGCTGGCACTGTTAGGGTGGAGGTGGGTGCAGGGAAAAGGCGACTCCCGTAGTCCAGGTGGAGGGGAATAGGGAGGAGGGTCGGAGTCCAGAGATAATTTTCCTCTTTTAAAATGTTGAGTTCTTTGGAGACCAGCAGATGGCGTAATGGCTACATGGCTGGATTCCCATGTGGCCAACTGCGGTTCAAGTCCCAGACCCAGTGACTTAAACTCACGCCAGGCGCATGTGCGTGCATGCCCAAGATCCCGAGAGGAGAATGGAGGAGAAGGGATTGCAGCGTGGCCATCCCCCCTGGGGGGTGATTTCTCGCTTTCTGTCTCTCTGTCTCTCTCTGTCTTTCTGGTGAGCGCACGCGCCCTATAGCAAAAACCTCTCTCTCTTCCAAAAAAAAGTTCTTCACTTCTTTTTTATTAAATTTTCAAACTCTCAGAAAGGTTGAAGAATCTAGTCATCCTTCTGTCCTCTTCACCACTGAGCTCATCAATTATTTTATTTTTTAAAATTATTTATTTAATTACATTTTTTTGCAGTTTTCATTTTATTTTTTTAAAGAATTGTTTATTTAATTCAATTTATTATTATTATTATTATTATTTTTTTAGACAGAGAGAGAGAAAGGGAAAGGGTGAAAGGGGTAAAGAAAGCTGCCAGGTCCAGGACTTGAACCATCTTGTGCCATGTGGGAATCCAGTGCCTTTAACCACCATTCCACCTGCTGGCCCCTTAGCACATCGATTATTGACCTGCAGCAAATTTGCTTTGTGTTTGTACCCACATAGGTGCATGTTGTGTGTGTACCCACTCGCTTTTAAAATTCTGAACTGTGGGGACCAGCAGTTAGCGTAATGGCTGTGTCGCTGAACTCCCACGTAGTCGACCCGGACCCGGTGGCTTAAAACTCACGCCAGGCGCGTGTGCGTGCCCAAGATCCCGAGAGGAGCACGGAGGAGAAGGGATTGTGGCGTGACCATCCCCCCCGGGGGTTGATTTCTCGCTTTCTGTCTCTCTGTCTCTCTCTGTCTGTCTGGTGAGCGCATGCGCCCCATAGCAAAAAATAAAATAAAATAAGATTCTGAACTGTGAAATAAGTCGTGGACAGAATATTTTGCTTCTAGATATTTCAGCGTCAACTTCCTAAGAACAAAGACATTCTTCTAAATAAAACAATGCCAGTATCACACTTGAGAAATTTAACATTG